GTATCTGTCCTTTCACTCATGTGTATTATAATTAGAGGGGTCTCGGACAGCATCGTTCAGTGACTCCCCTTTTCAGTGATTTGTTACTTTCATCTCCGCCCTTTAACTCATGTATTTCGTAACTTTCCTCTGACGACCTTGTCGTGTCCTTGCCTCACGAAAGTTTTAACCAAGTTCATATCTCAATGTTTATCTTTCTCTTATTCCCGACTTTCTGTCTCCATTCTGTGTTTAACCGTTCTTAGTCATGAGCCAAAGGTTATCAGTTCTTAGTCATGCTGCTAATCGAAGTACGGAATCTGCAGTGATTCTCTTAATGCTTTAGGGATGCATTTTCACCTTATAACATTATTTCATGCTGTGCCATTTATAATGCAAAAAGGTAATAACATGAGTTGTGGTGTTTTCCTTAATCACTGTTTACCTGTTGACAGAATACTATCGAAATCTGGATGATCTGACACAAGGCATCGTGACACGCCCTTGAAGAGATGTGATGTCAAAAGTCAGTTCACAAATTCAGTATCGTGTGTGTCCACCATTAACATTGAGGCAGGTTTGAAAACGACGACGCATAGACGACACTAAGCGATTGAAGAAAGCTTGGGGAATGTTGTTCCATGTCTGGACCAACGATTCTGGTTACGATTCTGGGCTTGACCTAAACCGTTCATCTTAGCAGTCTGTACACCCTTGCCCTGCCATCTGAGCTGTCCAGGTGAAATCTCGATTCGTCAGCGATAAATACACCATCCCAATCCTGTCCCCTGTACCGTAGATGCTGTCTGCACCTGACAAGACGTACCTGTCGGTGGCGTTGGAACAAAACTGGACGTATTGTAGGCCGTCGGGGCCGGATGTTGTGCCACCTTCAGTCGGTTCCATACAGTCCTTTAACTGATTGGAATGGCCGGGAATGGTCCGAGCAGTCAAACTGAAAGTCTGGAATTGATTCCTTATATGGGTCAGCCGAATGTGGTTGTCTTTTTTTTTTCTTTTTTTTTTTTTAAACATATTTTATTCATTCAAGAAAAGGATTGGGCACAAGTTATCCAACTTAGAAAAGCCCTCTCCAGATAATTACACAATTCATCTTACAACAAAGTACACAAGTGACAGACATAGGCTAGGATATGTACAACAGATGTTAACTGAGAAAGCGTTGTGTTTGAGAGATATAGCTATGTACATATTTGGAAACATTCTGGTTGTCAGTGATTGAGAGACCTGCATTGCCTTGTAAGATAAGATTAATATCAATCAGTGTTCTATTTTTGACAATATGTTCTAAAGATTTTAACAGTTTATGTCTTTGAATAGTATACAAAGGACATTCAAGGAAGTAATGAAAAACATTCTCACATCTATGGCCACATTGACATGATGCGTCATTTTTTACATTTATTCTATATAAATCATAATTAAGTGTACTCGTCATATATCTTAATCTAGTGTGCATAACATTGAACTGCCTTATTCCATATGAATAATATATAGGTGCACATTTTTCCTTCACGTGGATATAAGATTTAAACGTGGCAACAGAGTCGCAATTTCTAATAGCTAAGGGAATATTATTCCACACTTTAACTGTTGATGGAATAAAAGATGACGTTGAGTACCTCAGTCTTGTATATGGTTGACTAAAGTTATTTGAGTTTCTTAACTCATAACTTGTCTGGTTGCTAACTACAGGTGGGAGTAAATCTTGAAGAAAAACTGGTGTCAGCCTTTTTAATTTTATAAAATAAAATAATGTTAATTTGTAAATCCCATCCCGTTTCGTAATACAATGAACTGGAAGATGCATATCTTGGAAGACCAGTAACTATGCGCGCTGCTTCAAGTTGAAGTTTTTCTAATCTATTAGCTTGTTCAATTAAACATCCATCCCATACCTCGCATGCGTACTCAAAGTGTGGCCTTATGAATACAGTATATATTTTCGCTAGTGTTGTTCTATTTAATAAGAACTTTAATTTCCGAAATGCTCCAATCATTTTAGATGTCTTTTTGATAATGTTTTCAATATGATGATGCCAGCTCCCGTTAGACGTGAAGATTAAACCCAGATGTTTATGAAAATCGACTGTTTTTATATTGCAGTTACCAAACTTAAAATTAATGTCTTTTTTTGCCATCTTTCAAAGTAAATAATATAGCTTCAGTTTTTTCCGGATTGTAGGAAATTAACCAGACCTTTGCCCAATCGTTTAATATTTCTAGATTTTCATTCATGGCTCTTTCCATCACTTGTTTATCCTTTGATAAAGTTCCAAGTGAAGTATCGTCAGCGAAAAGCCGAGTTATGCAATGTAGCTTATCAGCTATCTCATTTACATACACAATAAAAAAGAAATGGGCCTAAAACTGATCCCCGGGGAACTCCTGCTTTCAACACCATAGGCTTGGATAGCGACCCATTAACAAAGACTGATTGATTGCGATCAGTTACATAACTATTAAACCAATCAAGGAGTTTTCCACTGACTCCATACATCTCTAATTTAAGCATAAGCCCTCTGTGCCAAACTCTATCAAAGGCCTTTGATACATCGCAAAAGACCATACAATAGTATTCTTTGTTATCGAGTGATGTACAAATTTGATTATAAATTTCTACAAGTTGATGTACAGTAGAATGACCTCTCCGGAAGCCACACTGATATTTGTATAACAAATCGTTTGACACAAAGAAATTATAAACATGCTTAAACACAACTCTTTCAAACAACTTCCCAACGCAACTAATAAGTGAAATTGGGCGATAGTTTGATACAACCGAATGGTCACCTTTCTTGAATAAAGGCATAACATTTGCATACTTCCATTGGCTAGGATACACACACAAATTTAGTGACATATTAAATAATATGCACAGGACTGGACTGATGGAATTAACAGTTTTTCTGAGTAATTGGTGACTAATCAGGTCTGGCCCAGCAGCTTTCTTAAGAGTAAGACATTTAATGATATCTGCAACCTCATTAACTTCGATTGTAATGTTTTCCAATACCGCATCGCTACGCTTGTCAAAGTGTGGTAAACAAGTGGTATCTGCACCATTTAAATTAGATATAGACTCAAAATATTCATTTAACATATTAGCTTTATCAAAATCTGAAAAAGCTGATGGACAACCTTCATCTACATTTCTTTTCAAAGCGGGAATGAAGGAAGCAGAACCTGACGTCTTGATCAAACTGCGTAACATTTTCCAATATGATGATTTATTTTCACCATAAAGTTCGAATACAAATTCGTCAAGATTTGAATAAAAATGTTCTTTAGCATAGCATTTCATATCATTAACTTTATTACGCTGTTTTTTGTATTTCATAACATCAGTTTCTTTCCGTGTTCTCCTAGCTTTTTTTCTCAGTCGATCCCGCTTCCTACTTTCACGTCGAATATTTGAGTCATACCATGGTTTGTCATTAGATCGTATCATCACAATTCTAGAAGGAATACATTGTTTGGTATAATCGTTAAAACGTTCATAAAATACACAGCAAGCATCTTCAACATTAGAACAGTCAGTAAATAGTGACATCCAATCCGTACTGCTAACAAGTGCATTCAGTTTTTCATAATCACCATTATTGTAACACCAAACTTTTCTGGGATATGCAACTTTAATTGATACATGTACATCAAGGCTGACAAACGTGCCTTTGTGATCACTTATACTTTTATCAAAATCAACAACACCACTTTCAACAACATCAACTTCGTCACTAACAACTATTGGATCTAAAAGAGTGCTAGTTGTCTTAGTCACCCTTGTGGGTTCCGTTATAACATTACGTAAGTTTTTTCTAAGTAAGATGTCTGTTAGGTTTAGATTGGATGTGGAAAGTAAGTTTTCATTCAAGTCACCGACAAGAGTAACTTTACTTGAAATATCTAAAGCACCTTCAATGCTATTGTCAAATCTGCTCCAAAAGTTGGCAGTATTACTTTCAGGCCTGTAAACTGTGCAAATGATTAATGGTTTTTTGTGGAAGAAATATTTTAACCCATACAGATTCATCATACATATTTTCAAGATTTGAAAGTCTGTCAAAAGTTAAATGTCGAGATATATACATCATAACACCACCCCCAAAAGCATTTCTATCTCTACGTATCGGGTCATGAAACTTTTCCCAGGCCACTGTTTCATTATCTATACTTGAGTCTAAATGAGTCTCCGTGAAACAAACAACATCGTATTCAGATAAAAATTCCGACAAATAAGATTGCTTATTACGAATACTTCTAGCATTCAAGTGAAAAATAGACAGTAAGTTGTCTGTCTGAACAATAGGTCCTGGGTTAGACTCTACGTCACCAGCAAGCTGAAGTAACAATAGAAAAATCAGGATGATATTGACATTTGTAGCCTGTGATTGAAGTAGACATAAATACAAAAACACGCACCAAGCTTTCAATTCCAACAATAGTAAATTACACACAGTTTCTGCTTCAATGCATAGGAACCTGGCTAGTACATTTTTGTCAGCAAGTAAGCTAGTGGTTTTCGAACATTTCTTATTGCTACTAGAACACGTGAAACAGTTGAATGACCCGATCGCCGAACGGTGTTGCATTATGTCATTACCCATACGGCTTGTTGATTTCATGTTGGTAGATACACGTGCGGATACCAGATCGGGTTATCTGCAGACATGATAATGAATTTGATAGTATATCATGGATTGGCAATACAGAATCTCTCAGTTGTTCTAAAGAGGAAGACAGAAAAATGGATATATACAGTGATTCAGTTTTGGATACATGTGTACTCGGAAATGTAACTTGAGAGTTGTAAAGTTTAAAGGTGAGATTAAGAATAGTATATACACAATTTAATACAAACATAAACAAGAAGAAAGACAGACTGTGTTGTGTGTTTATATGGTACATACAATTAATAAATAAATAAATATTTACATACTTACATATTTGAATACCTTTAACATATAAGCCAAGCATGAATGTGAAACACGTTTAAGCCATTACTGACGCCTATATTTGTCGAGGTCAGACTCACTTTGAATGACACGAATGAGTCCTTCCAACTGTTCACAGATATAAACCCTGCCATCGTATGTCCAGGTGGAATAGATCCTCTGCTCCTTCTTCAGATCTCTGGCGAGCTTGAACAGATGATTTCTGTACTTTGTCAGATCCTCGTTGATGTAGATATTGTCTCTTTTACCCTTGAGCTTGAACTTGTTCCTGATCACTTTGTTTCTGTCCCAATAACTCACAAACTTCACCAATATGCTCCTGTTCTGTTCTCGCCGTTTCTTGCCCACCCGGTGGCACCTGTCAATATATGTGGGTGAAATATCCGAGTGCACATCCTTAAGCACCTCCAGCACAACTTCCTCAATATTTTCGTCCTCCTCTCCCCACTTGGGTTCCTTGATTCCCGATATCCTCAAAGAGTTCCTCCGACTGTACTGTTCTAGCTCGTCAGTCTTGAGGTGGAGTTCGACTCTCAAATCACGTATCTCCTGCTTGAGAGGGGCCACAACATCCTGTATGGTTGTCTTTCTGACGTAACGGCCGATCAGAGGCAAATTTCCCGTGTTACCATTATGTTTGAGCGATATGGCTGAAATATTGCCGATGTGACGTTAAATTTTAACTCACTCACTCACTCACTCATTATGTTGGAAACATCTCCATAGAGATGAGATTGTGTTTCGATGGACACCAAATGTGTGGCCATGTCATTTGGGCCATTCCAATCTCCAGCATATCCACAGCGGCGGTGGGGTAGCTTAGTGGTTAAAGCGATCGCTCATCACGCCGAAGACCCGGGTTCGATTCCCCACATGGGTACATTGTGTGAGGCCCTTTTCTGGAGTTCCCCGCAGTGATATTGCTGGAATATTGCTAAAAGCGGCGCAAAACTAAACTCACTCACTCACTCCAGCATATACACAGCGCGGAGACGCTGATTTTCTATAAACCGTGGCATGATGTACGCGCAGTTTAGGTTGAAATTAACTTGTTTTCCGCAACCTTCAGAGGCTAGAGAATTATCAATCCGTCTTCAATTTTCAATATCAGGTGTGTGAACTACAGGTGACAAGGAGTGCACGTGCCACGCGTGGTACGTGACATCAAATTTCATACAAAGTGCTTTGCCACATGTTTATTTAGGGTTATTTTTTATAACTTTTTAAATAACTTTTTTTTCAAATATTTTTTGGTTTTGCAATTTTAAGTTATGCACAGTTACTATTTTCCCGTAATATATATACTGAGTCAAAAAAGAAACTTCACATTCTTTCTTCAGGGCACTATAAAAGAACAAGAGATGGTAAGATGGTTAAATTGTTATTTTTTCATTGTTGAGATCTGTGTGATGTACTCGATACACTGACAGTGCCATAATCAGTTCCATTAGGCTACACCGCCGTTCCAAAACATGGGTATACAGAATGTCAAGTCACAAGAATAAAAATGCGAAATTTCTCAGTTCAATATCGTGTATGGCCGCCCCGCGCATTCACCACTGCCAAACACCGTCTCCTCATCGACTGCCTGATGCTTGTGAACACGTGGTTGGTGATTCTGCGCCATTGCTCTTGCAAGGCAGCGCCAAGTTCCTGCAAATTCTGAGGTTGGTTCCTAAGACCACGAAGCCTTCTCCCAAGTGCATCCCAAACGTACTCTAGTGGATTGAGGTCAGGGGACCTCGATGGCCAGTCCATGACGTTGATTCCAGCGTTTTGAAGGAAATTTCATGTCAACATCGCGGTATGCGGCCGAGCATTATCATGCTGGAACTGTAGACCTGGGCCATGAGCCGCCATGAAAGGAATGAGTTCAGGGGTGAGCACCTGGTCGCGGTAAGCAGCAGCTGTGAGGTTTCCACGGATGACCAGAAGTCGGGAACGGTTGTTCCCACAGAAAGCACCCCACACCATGCAACTTCCGCCCCCGAATCTGTCGACTTCCTGTACACAACATTGGGCATACCGTTCACGACGTCGTCTCAAGACTCTATGCCTGCCGTCCGCGAATCTGAGGGTAAACCTGGATTCATCGCTAAAGACGACTCGATTCCAGTCTCTCTGGGTCCATCGGAGGTGACGTTGGGCCCACAGCAGACGTTGACGTTGATGAAACGGCGTCAATATTGGCCCACGATATGGACGTCGAGAATGGAGATTGGCAGCCCGCAACCGATTTCGAATGGTCTGTGAGGACAGTCGACCTCTAAACATCTCAGCCCTGGTTCGTGTAGCCGGCAGAAATCTGTCACGTAGGTGACGTAGGACGATGTGACGGTCTTCTGCTTGTGACGTCACACGTGGACGACCCGACCTTGGGCGATCAGAAGTGGTGCCACTTTGTTGTAGACGACCTCGAAAGTCATACACAGTACGACGGCTGCATCCCATTGCTCTTGCGACGTCAATAACTGATCTTCCCGCTTGCAACATGCCAACGGCACGTTCACGTTGCACATTTGACAATCGTGGCATTTCAAGTACCGTTAGAACTGTGGTTTAAAAGTGTATTTTCAATTCTTGAGGCCAATGCAAACACGTGCATATGAAGCAAACTTCGATGCGAAGATCACGTGATCGACTGCACGTGCGAAACCTGATTTGGCACTAACGTCATTTGCACGACGAATGGATGGGTTTTGAGTGGGTTTTGCTAACGTTTTTCAAGAGTTGAAAGATGGGGATCCCATTTCGGATACATAGATGTATCATCAGATAAAAATTATTCATTATTTTTCAAATTATATTTTGTGAAGTTTCTTTTTTGACTCAGTATATTAGTAACCTAACACCGGAGAAGATGAGGCTAGCGTTGGTCTTCAGCAACCCATGCTTGCCGTAAGAAACGAGTGCAGGCTGTGAGGCTTGGTACAAATGTTAGTACAATCTCGATTTTGGTGTCTGTGTCTGTCGTGATTGGTAAACTCTTAAATCACCACCTATCAAATCAATGATTGGTCATTGTTCAATATTTCTTGAACGCTCAAAATTTATAGGAATCATCATGGTTATAAGTCGATTCATGTTGAAGGTTTCATGATTAACGGGGCGGTTGGGTAGCCTAATGGCGACAGTGTTTGTTCGACACGCCGAGACTTAGGTTCGACTCCCGTCAGGGGCACAATATTTGTAGCCCATTGTTGTACCTAAAAGCGGCTTAACATCGTTTACTGATTAATCTCAGAGTCGATAATTTGAAAATTTCAATCATGAATGTATAACAAAAATATTGTTTGAGTGCTGTCAAATATACAGAATAAGTAGCATATCTATCTTGAAATGTTTAACCTTGCTAGGAATGCTTCAATTTAACGTCTTGTCCAAATGCCCCTGGGGACTTGGGGTACCTCTTCCATGGTGTCCCAGCTGGATATTCTGGAAAATCCGGGTTACAATTCATGCGTCGTATGAGGCGACTAACGAGATCGGGTGGTCAGGTGACTTGTGTTACGAGGATGTGTTTTTTGTTAATTATTATGTACCCAAATTTTGTAGAGCCATGCTCATAATGCTCCTGTGTGGACCAAGTCAGCGAGAATAGTCGCTTCTTACGACAAGCATCCCGGATCTGTATGGGGCATAGCTAAACATCAGTAATCTCAAACCTAAAATGTCACGGTTTCAATTACAGCTGAAAGACTTGGTTTTTCTATTGACGTGTACCAAGAACAGCCCTCCAGCCAACACTCTGTCCCCAAATTATGCTACTTCTACTCCGGTAGCGTGTCACGCCCGGGAGAGACTGTTACCGTCACCTGCTCAAGACCCGTCACCGGTCGCTTTGTCAGAATCAGCGGTAAAAACAAATTAAATCCTGAAGATGTTCTCCACATGTGCGACGTACAAGTGTTCGGAGTGGCAATATCTACACATTTCGATTCATGTAAGTATTATCAAACTTTTTTAACCGACAACTCAAATGAAAGGGTTCCTTTAACTGTTTGTTAAACGCCGCACTCAGCAATATTCCATCTATATGACAGCAATTAGTAAATGCCTGGGCCAGACCATCCAGTGATTGACATTATGAGCGTCGTTTTACACAATGGGGATACGATAACGTGCATCAACCATCTCAGCGATCCTGACCATCGGATTAGTTTGTTAAGATTCAGAGGGAGGGGTGTTAAGGTAAGCCGTAACAGAGTAGTTGGTGTTTAACGCCGCACCCATTTATTCCAGCTAAATGGCGGCGGTCTCTAAATATTCGAGTCTGGTCCAGACAATCCAGTGATCACCAGCATGAGCATCGATCTAAGCAATTGGGATACGATGACATGTGTCAGAGAGCATGACCACCCGATCACGTTAGTCGCCACTTACCACAAGCGTGACAAATGATGGCCAATTCTAACCTGAATCTTCACGGGTAGGACGTCAAATGAATCCAACCCAGTGCGAACGTTTTGGGAACCGTTCCATGAAATGTTGAAGTACTGTTGAAGCAATGTGAAGAGAAAGACGTGATCTGAGATCTTATTGGTCAGAGCACTCGCTGGAACAACGTCATGGTTTGATTCGTTGGTGAAAGAAACTGAATACTTTTGATTAATCTGTTTAGCGTTATGGCTAAAAACAATGTACTTTTTCGAGGCAGGTTGTTGCAGGTAGCTTAATGGTTAAAGCATCGCTGTGCAGGCCGGAGATCCATGTACGAATATCCCTTTGGTCACAATGTGTGAAGTCCATTTCTGGTGTCCCTCGTCGTGATATTCCTGGAATATTGCTGAAAGCGCCATAAACTAAACTCACTCACTCATTTCTGGTGTTCCCCGTCGTGATATTGCTGGAATAGTATTCACAGCGGCGTAAAACCATACTCACTCATTCTTGTTCCAGGCGCATCCCTCGTTCAATATACACAACAACATTCCACCAAGACTCCACTGAAGACCATCAGCGAAGGAATCGACAATACCGCAGCTTGTGCTGCTGCATGTGAACGCTCGGAGTCCTGCACGGGCTTCAGCATCAGACACCTACCGGCCACAGTGTGTGAACTGCTTCAAGGGGAGATAAGTCCCTCACTTCAGGCTGACGTCACATGGGACAGTTACTTGTATCAAGGATGCTTCAGTGTGTGCGATTAAAACTATAATCCCCTTTGCTGAATCAGGATTCATAACAACGTATTCAGAACATTATTCATATCAATAACCGAGGAACGGTTAGTTTCTGCTGACCAATGGCGGGGTTGACAGACTGTTGCTTTCTATGCGCCTTCAAGTGTTCAACATCAATGTTCCTAAAACAAACTAATAGTTCCAAAGATGTTGTGTATTGGGCATCCGTTTTCCCAAACGGGAAGTGATGTCATTCGTGAAATGTGATTATTACTCCTATGAATAACTGTATTACAATCGTTAGAGGCCTACATCATTCTCTGTCAAAGTTGTAGTGCACTGCGCATGCGTTGTCCCAAACCCGGTAGTTGTGATACTTAAAAACCGAAAGTGATTTGTCGCAAACCTCTTCTGATTTTTGCGAAGCCAACGAAGCAGACATTTCACAAAGTTTGCACCAATGTTGACAAATATTAACAAATGTCTTGCCATATAGATGTTACCAGTTCTGACTGAATTTTCACTCCCCAACATCATGTTAAAAGACATGTGATTTTCAGTGGCCCATGCTTAAGCTTTTATCCCTTGTCTAAATCTTCAATGCCCAATAGAATTTGTTTCCGAAGAGAATCGAGATTATTCTCTCACGTGGACGTTTCTAGATCTAGATTCTCAATAGTATATATACCACTGTGACATTGGTTTTATTTTAAAGACAATCCAGAGATCAAATGAGTGAGTGAGTTTTGTTTTACGCCACTTTTTTGCAACATTGTCGCTATATCAGGTCGGGGCACACTAGAAATGAGCTTCACAGATTGTACACATAGGGAATCGAGCCCGGGTTTTCGGCGTAACGAGCGAACGCTTTAACCACTGGACTACCCCACCTCCCG